CAAACATAAAAACGATTGTGAGGAGGGCACAGGACGCAGCAGTGTTTTGTCCTGTGGTACACAGGGTCGCTAGGAGACAGAACAGACTTGACAGCACCTGACAACAACAGTAACATGCACGTGTTGCACCACCGTCATCACTCCTCATTTCCACAGGTTTTACATCACCCCACTCGGTACCCCTTCAACAAGAACTCCCACTGCTTCCTACCCCCAGTACCTGGTAAATACTAATAAACTTTGGCCTCTGCATGCACGTCTATTCTTAATATTTTATATACATGGGGTTATCTATTTATCCTTTTTGTCTGATTTTTTTCATTCAGCATAGCATTTTCAAGGTCTATCCATAATGTAACAGAATTCATTTCCATCGAGCATTTCAGGATTTCATTTCAGGATAATATTCCCATGTACGCAGAAACCACGTTTGTTTCCATTCTTCTGTTGTCTCCAACTTTTGGTTGTCTGGTTCTCTGCTCTCAGTCCCTTGGGACTACATGGATGAGTGGAATTGCTGGGTTATGTGGTAATACTATGTTTAACTCTTTGAGGAAATACAAAACCATTGTCCACAGTGGCTTCGCCATTTTACATCTCCAACGCTGCACCAGAGTTTCAATTTCTCCACATCTTGCTAAAATGGACGAGGTATTTTTCTGATGATAGTCAACCTAGAGGATAGGAGGCTGGTGACTCCAAATGGGCCTTTTGTGAGATATCTTTATCCCCACCTGCCACCAGACCACTGGCTCGTAGAGCCCAACATTCCCTCCAGTCACTTCAGAGCATGTGCTATAAAGTCTAGTACCACCAATGTGCTTTCCATTTCCCTCCAACATCAGGTTACATCCCTGGATGCCCATGGGAGGACAGTGGAAGGCCCTGTCCCAATCACCATAGAAGTGAAGGACATCAATGACAACCGACCCACATTTCTCCAGCAAAAGTATGAAGCCTCAGTGAGGCAGAATTCCCGACCAGGTAATATGAAGGATCCTCAAGAGAATTTGGAGAGGGAGAAGGGTATCAGACAAAGCAGAATTTTATGCATGATAGCAGCGCTGACCACTTACTCTCTTAGTTAGTGGTGCAAATGATTAATCCACTTGACCATTAATTTAAAGCTTGGAGGTTCAAGTTCACCCAGAGGCGTATTTTTAAAAAGGCATGGCGATCTTCTAAAGGAGTCAATAATTGAAAACTGTAGAGCATAGGTTGTCTCTGACACACATCGGTCCCCTTAAGTTGGAGTGGGCTCCAAGGCCCCTGGTTTTGCTTGTCTTTAGGATTCTTGTGGAGTTGTTCTACTATCCCTATTGCCGCAAAACATGGATTCCCAATCTTGGCACTACTGGACTCTTTGGTCCTGAGAATTAAATTGTATATATGTATATACAGCTATCCCATGTTTTGTTAGAATGCTTACAAATATCCCTGAGGTCTACCCACCAGACGCCAGTAGTTGCTCCTAACTCCCCAAATGATGACAACCAAAATTTCTCCAGACATTGCCAACAATTTCTTGGGTAGGAGCGGGTGAGCAAGAGACCAATGCTTTAGGGTAAGACTTGGACTAGGACTGTTGGGAAAAGGAAGTGCAAGCTCACTATCCCATATCCATTCAAGAATTTCTTCCTCATGATCACCGCCGGCTCCCAGTTCTTTCTCTCAACTCATGTCCAATCCCCAGCTACGTGTGGTTCTTTCTCTCTGTACGAGTATTGGCCTTCTTTCTTTATTTCCACAAGACCCTCTCACCAAGGCATACGTGCATGCACAGAATTGGGTAGATGAAGAAATATGACATCATAACAGGGTACAAAGCAAAAATGAGGATTGGTTCTCACAAGATTCTTGGCCATTTCCATAAACTCACTGATTTTTGCCTCTTTACTCAATACCAAACTCACCACCGTGGAGTCGATGCTGATTCATAACACACACCCCTCTCAACCCCCGTGGTTTTCTGAGACTGTCACTTTACAGGAGTAGACAGCCCTGTCTTTTCCCTGTGGAGCTGCTGGTGGTTTCTAACTGCCAACCCTGCAGATCACAGACCAACGCATAACCAATCACTATACCACCATGGCTCCTCCTCTTTACTATACAGGGCAATTTCCCCGTCCCTGTCTGTGAGGTTGCCTATCAAAGATTCACTGATTAAATCTGCTAAGTAAAAATCCTTCCCTAAATCTGACCCTTCATCTTTTCACCAATATAATCTTCTGGAATAGGGGTCAGCAAACTTTTGAGATGGAAGAGTCAATCCTGTCCCTCACAACAACTTAAAAATCACACGAGTCATAACTATATTTTTATAAACAAATAAAATCCCTATTATCTGAAAATGAAACCATGATAGTTTTATTTTCATTTTCAGAGCCACAGGCATGTACCAAAAGAGCCACACGTGGCTCTTGAGCCCCAGTTTGCTGACCACGGCTGTTAGGAGGCAATGCCCCTCCTTCTTTTGTTTCAGGATTCGTTTGTTCTATTCAAAATGATGTGGGCTCACAAAGGACGACATCCTTTGGATGTGTGTATTATAGCCAGTGGTGTGCTGACAAATACGGAGTGACTGCCTGTGAGGAGGGAAAGTCCTGATTTGTAGCAGTCGCTCATTTCATGGTGAAAATTCCCTCACCACAGCCTATATGCAGTTCCGGATGGTTAATGATGGACCCTATGGACTGGCTCCAGGACGTCAGTGGCTTTAATCCCTCAATGAATTCATTTCAACAATTACTTCTTAATGGAAAACCCTCTATTTTGCCAAACCACACAAAAAACTAGTGAGCAAAATAGAATTGTTTTAATTTTTTTAAGTATCTTTAATGGCTGAAAAACAACAGGGTTCTCATGTCTATTTATACATTCATCTTGTTGTGATGTTAGTCAAAGAACATTGTCACTCGTGGATATGTCAAAGAGCTTTATATAAAAGAGCAATTGTATATTGAGAAAGCATCCCAGCCTAGGCCAGATCAAGTCGATAAGTCCGATATTAGCCCATATGTCTGATACTAGTCCATAAACTCCTCTTCAGACTCATGCAGCACAGGCAATGATGCCGAATGCAGGAAGATCACGGGCCAGTGGGTAGAAGGTCTTGTGGATTCAGTGGCAGTGGAAGCATCTCAACGCTGGTGCGGGTTTCCACGTGTCTCCTCCAGCTCTCTGAGTGTCTCAACATCAGGAAAAGGAAAACAGAGAGAGGGTGTGTCCCACCTTCAGGGGAGGAAGAAGAAGTTCCCAGAGTCCTCAGGAGAAGGCATGCCCACACAGAGGCATGGTTGGCTATGACCTGATTGACAGGCTGGATTCCACCCCTTCCCTCAAGTTGACAGGAGATTATGTAACTGTCAGAAATATGAATAAATATTAGCCTTACATCGATAGAGTTGGAAAGGCAAAGATGTTTTCTTTTACAGTAAGATATAACTTCAGACATTCTTTGATACAATACCATAATTTGACAAGTAGTGATTTCTTAAAAATTAGTTGCAATGTGGATTCTGAAAGCCTATCAGCAACATGTTTTGTATTCTTTTCCAGCAAAACATATCATACCATCTTGTAGTATAAGAGGACCTTTTATGCATGCGTGCTTTTTCACTCCCTTGAAACAGTCTTAGGAAGTCTCAGAGGTCCCAGGATCGCATTTTGAGGACCATGTTATAAGAAAAGAAAGCAGAATAAAGATTTCCTTCCTTACTGATATGAATGATAACACCTTTCCTTATTCTATGCCTATCCCTGAGAAGGCAAGAATTGATTTCAGTTTTGGTTTTAATTATCTTTTCTTTCCTCCCCTGGGTACATTTTGTTAAACAGGGAAGCCCTTCGTATACGTCAATGCTACAGACTTGGATGATCCAGCCACTCCCAATGGCCAGCTTTTTTATCAAATTCTCATCCAACTTCCCCAGATTGACAACATTAAGTACTTTCAGATCAACAATAAAACAGGGGGAATCTCACTTACCCCAGAAGGTAAGTCTAACGGGCTGTCTTTATAGGACCCTCTGAGTCAGAGAGAGGGCCCTATGTCTATATCGCCTTTAGAGACAACTCCTTTTTCCTTCTCCCATATGTTTCATAGGAGCTTGGAAACTGGATCCTATGCAGAATTCTTTCTACAGTCTGGTGGTCTCAGTGAAGGATATGGAAGGCCAGAGTGAGAATTCTTTCAGTGACACCACATCTGTGGATATTGTAGTGAAGGAGAATATTTGGAAAGAACCAGAGCCTGTGAAAATTGAAGAAAACTCCACTGAACCTCACCCCATCAAAATCACTCAGGTAACGCACAAGAAACACCAAGGTCCCACTAGATTAATGCCCTCCTCAGTTGAGACCAAGGTTCATGGTCTTCTTTACACACTTGTTAGGTAGATTTTTGCATAACAAAATTCTAAAGCAAATTGAGACAATGTCTCTGGAGTTTACCACTGTGGTCAGAGCATTTGGATTCAGATAAACATTTGAACTTTAAAGGAGAACTTCTCTGATTTTCAAGGTCAAAGTCAATACCACTGCTGCCTATTGATCCCTGTTGGAAGTCTGGGACATGGCTGCCCTGGAGTGGGTTGCATATGTGCATCTATCAAGTTTGGATTTGGGGTTACAAATGTTTTTGAAAGGCTGAGGATTCTTGTGGGTAAGACCGTTGCTCTAATAGATTCACCCCATCAGAAACTGAAGGCAGAGATGGAACTCATCAAGGGGAATAGAGTCAAGTAAACAACTGTGTTAGAAAAGGTTCTCTAGAGAAACAAAACCAGAATGCTAATAATTTAATATATATATTTATACAGATAGATAGATATATAGCATAAGAAATAAATAGTTAATTAAATTATAAAGCAGTATAAATGGCTCAGTGCAACTCACTCCCGTGAGACATTTGCGAGGCACTGGCAGGCCTTCAAGTCTTGAGGGCCGCTGGGTAGTCCTCTGTAGAGCAATTCAGACTATCCAGGCACAGGCAGCAAACAGCAAGGCAGGTCCCCAACAGTCAGCCAGATGACAGGGTCCGACAGCCCCCAGCTCAAGAGATGTAAATTCCAATGGTATGATGAAACAGGTCTTGAAGGAACTTCAAATTACAGTGACATAGTCCATGGGTTAGGTTTCCCACAGGTAGTGTAGTTTGCAAATTGAGGCAAAGAACAAGCAAGGCAGCTGCACACTGGTCCGATGATCAAAGAGCAAGAAACAAAGAAAGGCAAGGCTCGCTGAGCCATTTATCTCTCCACCCTTCAATTAATCCCGCATGTGTTCATTGGCCAGGTTGGCACAATAAACTAACTACCTCAGCAACCTTTGCCTGAGGAGCTCCCCCTACTGATCTCCATCTGTGCTTTTCCTTTCCATTCTGAAAATACACTCTGGGCTCCATCAGGGCTGTTAGCTTCTGAATTTATATTAAAGTTACAGGTGATGGGCAGTCTTCATAGGACTGTTTGAAGATTAAATACCATACACAAGAGCATTAACAATTGTATTTGGCAAGGTGGAAACCCTTAACCACCATATTAGTAGTACTATTAATATATCAGACACGCAAAGCTCTGTCTATGGCAAGTAGACTAGTCTTACTATTGAGTTTATTTATTTCTACCAGATTGTTTGCAAAACAACTCCAAGAGTCAGCACTTATTCTTATCCCGCAAATCTTTAAGGCTAAACATTGAGGGGCCAAGTGTGCCTTACTTATGTATTTGTCTTACTTAAATAATATCATGGAAACTAGTCACAAGTGTCTCTTACTCCTCTGCATTAGTGGATCTGAGAAGCTTGTCGTCAATCATGGGTTAGTTTCTTCAGACTATGCCATCTATGAAGTACACTAGTTTCTTATTTTGATGGTTCATGAATACAAAGCCTTCACAATCATAATGAGAATTCAAAAAAAATTGCCCACAAACTATTTGGGGGACTGCCCATGGTCTTAGTGAAGAAAAATAGCCCAGGATTTAAAGCGAAGGAAAATACCTCCTTGCCTTACTGAAGAAAAACACCCCAATGAGCTTTTCAAAGCAATAGAGTTTGGGTAAAAAAAAATACATTATTTTGGTTGAAAATGGAAAATGCTATGCATTTGTGATTAGAACCTGCAGACATACAAACGTGGATTTTCCCACTGAGAACCACATCATAGTTATCTTCCTGTCCAGTCTCTTGGTACAGATGCACCTGCTCTTCCTCACAATTCACTTTGGGCCCTATAGGTGCGGTGGAATGAACCAGGTGCACACTACTCTTTAGTCGAATTGGAGAAGCTGCCAAGATTCCCATTTTCAATTGATCAGGAAGGGGATATTTATGTGACTGAGCCCTTGGACCGAGAAGAAAAGGAATCGGTAAGTAAAGTGGAAAAGCTTCATGAGTGGCAAGAAAAATTCTTGTGCTCATCTACAGAAAAGAAAAAAAATTGATTTTGCAAAAAAAAAAAAATATTCTGAGTCGCGGCGTGTACTGGCTTTTAAAAGATTCAATAACTTCCCAGTTCTAAGTAAATGTAATTATGGGAGCAAATGAAGCAGAAATGAAACAGCTATTTTCTCTGCCTTTTAAAGGGTACAGTGAGGAGTCATGTCTTAATTCTGACCTTCCTGTTGTAGTATGTGTTTATGGCGGTTGCAAAGGATGAGCATGGAAAGCCACTTGCAAGGGCAGTGAAGGTTTATGTCGAAGTTACAGACATTAATGACAACCCACCTACATGTCCTTCTACAAAGACTGTATTTGAGGTCCAAGAAAATGAAAGAATAGGTAAGAAATGATTGCTGCTAAAATGCTATGCTGACTATCTTCCTTATGTTAATTGTGTAACTCTGCTTTCCTCTCCCTTTTCTAAAAGTTGGGTAAGTAGACGCGATTAGGAACCCAGTTTCCTTATCTACAGGTTGAATGCATGTTGGGAGTTCCACAGTGTGTTTGGTTGGGTTCTCTAGAGAAGCACAACTAGTGGTGCTTGTATGTGTTCTACATAGAAAGAAATGTATATCAAGAAATGGCTTACACAGTTGTAGAAATAGGCACGTCAAGTTTAGTTCAAGTCAGGCTTCTCCTGATTCATGGATGCTGATGAATAGGAAGCAGGATGCAGAGACAGCAGAGGGCACAGGCTGGTGGATGCAGAGGTCCAACGTTGGCCAAATGAATCCACTGCCTGTAGTCTACTAATGGCTTCTAGGGCTTTCTGGGCAGCACTAATAAACTTTGTGGGTGTTCTTCATCGTTTTCACAAAGTCTTAGATGATGAACTTGATGGATCAAGAATTCTTACCAGCCATCTAAGTGAGACGTCAACTAAACCCACATGGAAGAAACATAGCAACATCCGTGATCCAAGGATTGTAGCTGCTATAGTCCAAATCTGAAGGAGGGAATAGTATTAGAGCTCAAATTGTGAGATTCTGGTGAGCAAAAGGCTATTGATGACAGTGGAAGCCCAAAATACATTTATAGGATCTACACAGGGAATAGACCTCTGGTGATTTCCCTCTAACCATAATTGAGGGATGAGAATGACCTGGTGATCAGAGAATATTCTAGAAATGACTGGAATACATTAAGATGATGAATATGACTTGAATAGTTAAAACCTTGTCACCTCATCTTCCTTTTGATACACTTTGTTTTTATGTGGTTTAAAAAATTTTTTTTTAATATATGTAGGGTTTTATGTCTGTTGTAGTTTGTCATTGTTGGTAACTTTCTTGACTCTGTTATGTATTTTTCTGTTTTTTTGGTATGTGAGACTCACAAGGGATGGATCTAGAGAGACAGTAACAAGAATAAGGGTGCCTGGGGGGTACAGCAAGGGAGTGGAAATCAAGGAGTACAAGAAGGAGGAAAATATTTTGAAACTGATAATAAATAATTAAAAAGTCAAAAAATGAGAAAAAAAACCCTTCTTACCAACTAATACCTTTTGAGTATAGTCTACATACTTAGCCCAAAAGAGGTACAAGATAAGGTCCCATCCACGGAGGACGTGTAGCTAAGTGGAGGAGACATGCATAGGTGGAAACATAAGCAAATAAAAACTCAAAACAATCTAAGTTATTCCTCAGTATATTTACAGTATATTTATATGGTGTCTATTTTCCCCCCAACAATTGTGAATTGAATGAATGTTTAGAGAGCAAATCAGTGTTCCATTCAACAGTTCATTCGCATTTTGTAAGACTCTTGTCCTGAAGGCTTAGGAAAACTAGTATTAATTCTTGAATTTCCCTTACCACGTCCTACAGCTTCAATGGGACATTAAGGATCTCGCCCTTTTTAAAAAAATCATTTTTGGGGGGGCTCTTACAACTCTTATCACAATCCATCCATCCATTGTGTCAAGCATATTTGTGCATTTGTTGCCATCATCATTATCAAAACATTTTCTTTCTACTTGAGCCCTTGACATCAGCTCCTCATTTTCCCCTCTCTCCTTCACCTTCCATCCCACACGATCCATTGAACATTTACAAATTATTATTATTTTTTTTTCATGTCTTACACTGACCGAGGTCTCCCTTCACCCACTTTTCTGTTGTCTGCTGACTTCCTTCAGGAATCGGGCAGTCTAAGCAGGGCTGCACAGACACCAAAGGATCACAGAACTCAGCAAATCGTTCTTTCGTCCTCCCGTGCAGATGTTTTTCTCACGAGGCCACAGGCATAGCGCAAAGGTAACCTGGTCCCGGTGGAATCCGAAACAGCAGCTGCCATCGCACTCCTCCTTATGCTGCTGCTCATGGTCCTCCAGGCCATGGCACACTTCCACTGTGGACAGCACCCTGCCCCCCAAACGCTTCATTTTTATATAAATTGATGGATGCCAAATGATATAGGATGGGGGTGAGGGATAAAGGAGCCCCACAGATAAGATGTCTTCATTTTAGCTCTAAGGCCGGACCCTTGCTATATGGAAAGAGACCCACAATTCCTATCTCACAGAGCAGCAGGACCCGGAACCGACTGAAGCTCACTGCAAGCACAGTAGGGCCCTGAGTCATGGCCACTGACTTCCTTGAGATCCTCCTGGACTGAGACACTGACAGGAACCGTAAACTGTAGGCTGGCGTAGAGAAAGCACATCTGGCCTTTGGCCTGGGTTAGCTTTTGGGTGGAGTCACTCTGCGATTGCCCCTTCAAGGTGCATAGATGCAACCTTAGGAGACTGGTTTCTCCTTATTTAGCCCCCTGATGTGCTTGGAAAGGATTAGAAGAACCAAAATAAATCCAAGGAACTTGGTAGGCTACCCAAAGTTACTTACAATATTTTCTAGGAAACCACTTATTCAATGAGACCATTCCAACAGCTTAAATAACCCCTGTAATGAATGGATTTTCTTCTTTTTTTTCTCTCTACAGGTAACCCTATTGGGACTTTTACTGCTCATGACATCGATAAAGAAAACACCGTCAATAGTATTTTACGGTACGCAATTGTGGAGCAAAGCCCCAAGGTTCCCAACGAGGGACTCTTCCTGATTCAATCCTATGGGGGGATGCTCCAGCTGGCTCGGCAATCCTTGAAGAAGCAAGATGCTCCTCTATACAACCTAACGATAGAGGTGTCTGACCACGGTTAGTATCACCCGCACTGGGTGAATAAGAAGAATTGTTCTCCTTCAAGTTATCACTTGTTAAATCAAAAAGCCAAATTTAGTGACATTGAGTTGATTCTGACTCACAGCAACCTTATAAGGACAGGATAGACCTGCCCCTGTGGTTTTCCAACACAGTAACTTTTTATGAGGCTTTTAAAACTTCTAAAGCATCAACTTTCTCCCATAGAGCAGCTGCTAGTTTCAAACTGTTGACCTTGTGAGTAGCAGTCCAATGCATAACCACAATTAATTTCTGGAATATCACAGGATGATGTGATTTGAGAATTTTTTGGTTCCTGTGCCAACCTCCCATGCAAGGTAGAAGCAGTGCTGATTATTATACAGCCAGGCTTACAGCTCAGGCAACATTGTTGTGTTGGCCCCAGACTTTCAAGATGAATGTGCCATGACTTAAACAAAAACCATTAAGGAAACTAGAGTGGGGGACAAGGAGAGCTTTGAGAGCCATCAGACCCCAATACAAGACTGGCCCTGAGTTAGGACAGGACGACAGAGAAGGAAGGAATATTGGGTGGAAATCATCTACACCGCCGAGCATTGTAAGGAAAGTTCGTCAAGCCTTTATGCCATCATCAGTTATAGTCCTGTGTCTTCAGAAGTGCATCTACCTTAGTTTTCTGCCATACTCGGTTTCTGGCTGGAAAAAGCCATAGGAAGGGGAGCCTGGAGGCAAATGCGGAGATACATTTCAGGCACAGCAGCGGGACCATCTATGAAGTAAGGTCCCTCTTGTTGGAGGTCTGCCAGGCATCTACCACGGCCACCACAATCATGACTAAGAAAATTCCGAGTCTAAAGTCCACCACTGTAGTTAAGTGAGGAGAAACGAACCTTGGGGGAAGTTCTCCCTTCTCCCCTGAGCGTCTATCGAATCAGTGGACCATGTCAGGAGACACCCTGCCCTCCTCACACGCTCTCAGAGCCTGTGGTTATTCATCTTCGTGGGCCCAAACATTCCTTGAGAAATTGATTTACGAAAACCCCAAACTATGTATTTTCAAGCAAATGCACACATGCACAGCCATACACACATGCCCTTGCTCATTGACCCACAAGAAGACGAAGACGCTGTCCTTGGGTTACCTACCACCGAATCTTAGGTTACCAAATCTGTTGGTGTCGAGTTGATTCTGACTCTTTGAGACACCATAGGGCTGAGTATCAATTCTCCGCATGCTCTCCAAGCTGTAACGCTTTCTAGGCGGCCTTATCTTTCTATCTCATGGGTTCAGACTGCTAACCTTTGGGCCAGCATCCAAGTGTTTAGTCACTAGGCTTCTTGAGCTCCTTTGAGTTACCAAACAATTCAATCATTGTCATGGTGGGAGGCTCAGATGACCTAGATGGGTAGGAGAAAAGAACATGCTTTCACTCTGTGCTTAAGATTTCTCACCATCACACAAACATTATACTGGGGAGAACTAGAGTTTTCAGGCCCCCCAATACAGAAAGTTTGGAACCAAGTAGTTAGGCAGGTTATGAGGACTTAATATTGTCTAATATTATGTGAAGAGGTACATCAGAGTGAGTATGATGGATCATCTATATTCACTATGAACTAAAAATTTCGTACCATCAGTCATCCATTCTGTCAACAAGCACCTAGTGAACATTTATCTTGTTGAAGGCAACATGCAAGGTATTAGAGATGTTGAAATGAGTAAGACTTAGCGTCTGACCTCAAGGGACACTCGTTCTGGTAGAGGAGATGGACATGAGACTAAAGGAATTTGCAAAAAACGTATACAGTGATTCTGTAGCCAGAGAGAGCCAGTAAGGCTTTTTGTTATTTCAGCACCACTGAGATAGATTTTGAAGGAGGACTATGACGGGTTACAGAGTAACATAGGGTCCATGGAAAAGTAGGCACTCCATGGGCAAACTCATGGGGGAAATGAAGCAGTTTGAAGCTATTAGAGCAAAGAGTGAAAATCAAAAGCATAAACTATGCATGTGAATGAATACATCTGTCAAAAATATGGACCAGATTATAAAATATATTTGTATACGAATAACCTATGTGTGTGGATGGAATTCAGTCCAGTTATGCACACAGAAATTTAGCGGCGAGGCTGTAATTCACTTTGTGTCACATAAACTCAGAGGCCACTGAGGAGGCCACCTGCTGGCCCAAATAAGAGCAGTGAGCCTGTGTGTTCAGATCCTAGAGCAGTGGTTCTCAGCCTTCCTAACGCCTTGACCCTTTCATACAGTTCCTCATGTTGTGGTGACCCCCAACTATCAAATTATTTTTGTTACTACTTCATAACTGTCATTTTGCTACTGTTATGAATCATAATGTAAATATCTGATATGCAGGATGTATTTTCATTGTTACAAAGTGAACATAATTAAAGCATAGTGATTAATCACAAAGACAATATGTAATTATATATTGTGAAATATTTATTTCTAATGACAAATAAATGAAATTTTGTCTTGAAGCATGGTGTAGCATGGGTGGGTGGACCTGCATGTGTGTGGACCCACCTGGAGACAGATGAGGAGCAGCGTCTCAGTTCCTAAGACCATCGGAAATAATGTGTTTTCCGATGGCCTTAGGTGACCCCTGTGAAAGGGTCATTCGACCCCCAAAGGGGTTGCGACCCACAGGTTGAGAACCACTGCCCTAGACCCTCCGTCATAATCATCAGACACTTGTGCTGCCCATGGTGTTCTAGGGACTAAACCCAGACTTAGTCAACACGACTTTACTTATAATTAGATTATAATTACAGTATGTGGTGAAATGGAACTGCCTGGGTATATTCAGCAGGATCCCAGAGGGAAAACTGGCCAACTCTTTCTAAGGGGGACCTGAAAAGAGAAGGGAATCATTTGTGAAGGTAGTAGGGCGTTAAGGGAAACCAATAAAAAGTGTGAAGCGCACGGAGGCTGGTGGCTTTTACGCTTCCATGGTCTGAAGAGGCAGGAGAAGGGAGCGTTCCCTGAAGGAGCAAGGCCTGCTGTAGCAGAGCGAGAAGAGAAGGGTGCTCTCTTGCTGCGGCTCCCGTAACCTCTGCGTGTCACCCAGTAGCAGAACCGAGCTTTTTCCAGAGGCGAGGGCATCCTTGGGCGCCCTTGCGAAGGTCAGCCTCTCTGGGGCAGGGCAGGGTGGAGAGCAGACTGAAGGGCGAAGGGAGAATAGCCAGTGCATGGAGTTGAACCCTGCCTCAAGCCCTGCCTAGTCGGTGACCATGTTCAAGTTGTTTAACTTTTCTGTGTCTTGCTCTCCGCATCTGTAAACTGGGAAACAGTAGTATCTCCATCATGAAGTCACGGTGATGCTTTGTGGGAGCCGAGCACTCAATACAGCTATTCGTGCTTAAAACACTAACGGTTTGTATAATGTCAGGAACCTAGGTTCCGTTGCTCTCCACATTTTATAGATAAGATGGCGGAGGCACAGAAGCACAAGCTCTGATAAGGGGCAGGGGTGGGGATTTCAGAAATGGGAGGCCAGAACTCAGACTGGTGAAACTTACATTGCCTCCCAAGCCCAGGTCAAGGAAGTCCGTCCAGAGGCTTTCCCTGCTCTCTCAGTCCATTGCCTTTTCTTCTCTGAACACTTCTAGCACGTGCTTTTCTGCAGGTCCTCCGCCCCGAATTGGAGGACACAGAATATTGTGGTTGAGACAACGACCGCCCCAAGAAAAGCCTGGCGTTTGTGTTTCTTCTCTCCCTCTGCGTCTTCTTCTGCCCATCTGTCCTGGTGCCCTTACCCGATCTCCCAGCACTCATGTCTCCATCCCACAGCAGGCTTAACTTGGACTTAGATCGACCCTGCTGTTTTTGACTTGATCTTTCAATGGCCAGGGCCAGTCCTTGAAATTCTTCAGTCTGTGGTGCCCCCTCCCACCCCCAATGTCTTGGAACTAGGTGCTGGCAAAGAATATGAGAAGTACCGAACCAACTGCATGGAAGACACGCAGCTAGAATGCTCCTGAGAAGCGAGGACGACGTGACTTCTCACATACTTTGACCATGTCACCAGGAGAGACCAGTCCCTAGAAAAGGACATTATGCTTGGTCAAGTAGAAGGGCAGAGAAAAAGGACAACTTTTGAGGAGCTACCCCAACCCAGTGGCTGCAACCTGACAATTGGGAGGATGGCACCTGTACATGGGGCCACAGTGAGTCGCAACCCATTCGATGGCCCCTTACAACAGAACAATGATGACCAGGGTGGTCAGCCCGATCCTTTGGCAGATGCTGAGCGGAAGACCTGGAGGGCAGTCTGTGCTCGGCCATATTCAAAGAAGAGGAGGAGGTCAGCGAAGGCTTTCTGGAAGCATGGATTTGCACTGGGCTTGGAAGGCTATGTAAGTTTCACCAGTCAGTGAAGGAGAGACTGCTTCCCAAAGAAGGAATCACCCTGCTTCGGCACAACACGCACCTAGGTTGGGAGCAGACAAAGGGCGATGACGGCGTCCAGAGAGGGCCCCCTGTCGGAGGCCTGCCTCTACTTGTGTGTGCAGGTGGTGGTGACCAGGGCAGCGGGGAATGGCTGTGACGGTTCTCTGACTTAACAGTGGTGTTCTTACAGGCTTCTAGTTTTGGTGCATGATTTTCAGCGAAAGTTTCTGTGACTTTGATTTTCAGATTTCAAGACCCTCTGTCCTCTGCAAATCAACGTTATTGATATCAATGATCAGATCCCCATCTTTGAAAAATCGAATGTAAGTAGTTGCCGCCTTTTTATCCTTACTTTAAAAAAAAAAAAATCTTACCAGATGGCTACTTACTGCTTGAGAAAGACACAGGCCATGATTAGGAAAAATGCCAAACTTCACAGCTAGCGCACACACCAGCAGGAAACCAGGCAACATCTCCAGTGGAAATCTTCAGGGAGCCACAGCCCTTGTTGTTATCTGAGACTGTCCGGTTATAAACGCCAGCCCACAGCTCCTGGATACAGAGAACAGCTTAAAAATAAAAGCCACACTCTGCCCCATTGAAAAATACTTGTGTGGTTACTTAGGGTTTGTTGGTATAAATTCTGTGTGTATTAGGACAATAAACAGACTACGGATGGATCTCAAATATTCATATTTACTAAAAAAGAATTTTCACATTTGGAATGTTATAGTTTTTCTTTTGGCTTTACATTTAAAAAAAATCATTTTATTGAGAGCTCATAAAACTCTTATCACAATCCATCCATCCATTGTATGTCAAGCACATGTGTACATTCGTTGCCCTCATCATTCTCAAAATATTTGCTTTTTACTTGAGCCCTTGGTATCCGCTCCTCATTTTTCCCTTCCCTCCCCATCCACCCTGCCCTCCGTGAACCCTCGATAATTTATAAACTATTATTTTGTCATATCTTACACTGTCTGATGTCTCCCTTCACCCACTTTTTTGTTGTTAGGGAGGAGGTTACATGTAACCTAATCGGCTTCCCCTTTCTACCCCACCTTCCCTACACCCTCCTGGTATCACCACTTTCAGCACTGGTCCTGAAAGGATCATTTGTCCTGGATTCCCTGTGTTTCTGGTTCCTATCTGTACCAGTGTACATCCTCTGGTCTAGCCATATTTGTAAGGTAGAATTGGGATCATGATGGAATGTCAAAATTTTAACTCATTTTCAAATAATTGGATAAGAGAAAAAGCAAACCAATCTCTAGCTTAAACAAAACTGTGCTCAAGACTTTTTCAAGAAATAGGAGAAATTGGTCAGAATGAGGCTGAGAAAAAGATCAGTGTAAGACATCCGAAAAATGCAAGTGACTACTTATTATTGTTGTGCACTCTAGACATGACGATAGTTTTATCACTGCTTCTGTTAAAAGAGATGTCTCCATTTGTTTCTTTTGAAACAGAGAGGAGCTCATTTAGCTCAATTGGTAGGTCATGCTTGAAATCGGTTGTGAAGCACTCTAGAGCCATGAGATACCATTCATAAATCAAAATAGAGACGAGGTTGTGAGAAAGAAAGGGAATTGATTTATGAGGGGGCTTGGGGCAGTAAGAGGCATGGATAGTTGTAACTTGTGTAATAGGCACTGAGGTTAAGCAAGCATGAAATAGAGTACATGTCTTCTCAGCCTCCACTCTCTTGGGGCTTTCAGTCCCTCTCCGAATCAGGGTTTTCTGTGTTACATCTAGATGGCATTTCTTAGATTGAGAGTTAAGAATTTCCTGGCATTGTGAAGGCAGGGGAAGTTTGATCTCAGAGTGCAGAGATCAGCTCTGGGTTATAGGGACAAAAAGAACCTGCTTCTTTCATTGCTATGATCCTCTCCTGGACCACACTTACTACCACCTTTAAGATGCTGATGCCAAGAGAAATGACCTGGAGGCTATTCAGTGAGAACTAGGAGATGGCCCAGATCACTGCTAAAGGTCAACAAACAGACCTTGAACTATTTACAGGCTTTTCTTTTTTATTGTAATTGGTTTTTTGGTGGTTGTTGTTGTTTTCTTTTCTTTTGTTGATTTGTTTTGCTCTGTCTTGTTTTTTGTGTGCATATTATTATCTCTGCAGGTCTATCTAGATAAGATAGGCTGGATAAACAATTTGAAGGAGAAAACAAGGATGGTTGGTGGGGGGGACATAGGAGAGGGGCAGGTGGGCGAAAGGAAGTCGTGTTAACTAACTCAGGGACAAGGGAACAACAAGTGATCAAAAACCAGTGGCAAGGCGGGTGTAAGAGGCCTGGTAGGGATTGATCAAAAGCAATGTAACCAAGAGGAATTATTGAAACCCAAATGAAGATTGAGCATGATAGTGGGACAAGCGGAAAGTCAAAGGAAATAGAGGAAAGAACTAGGAGGCAAAGGGTATTTATAGAGGTCTAAATACAGGCATGTACATATATAAGTATATTTGTATATGATGATGGGGAAATGGATCTATGTGCATATATTTATAGGTTTAGTGTTAAGGTAGCAGATGGACATTTGGCCTCCACTCAAGTACTCCCTCAATGCAAGAACACTTTGTTCTATTAACCTGGCAGTCCATGATGCTCACCTTTCCAACACAATTGCTGAAGAAAAAGTGGGTGCATAAGCAAATGTGGTGAAGAAAGCTGATGGTGCCCGGCTATCAAAAGATATAGCATCTGGGGTCTTAAAGGCTTGAAGGTAAATAAGCCGCCATCTAGCTCAGAAGCAACAAAGCTTACATGGAATAACCAATCAGCCTGTGTGATCATGAGGTGTCAAAGAGATCATATATCAGGCATCAAAGAACAAAAAATCAAATATTGTGAATGAGGGGGCATGCAGATTGGGGACCCAACCCCATCTATAGGCAACTGGATATCCCTTTACAGAAGAGTCATGGAGAGGAGACAAGCCAGTCAGGGTGCAGTGTAGCAATGATGAAATACACAACCTTCTTCTAGTTCCTAAATGCTCACCACCCCCTCCATCATGATCCCAATTCTACCTTGCAAATCCAACTAGACCAGAGCATGTACACTGGTACAGATAGGAACTGGAATCACAGGGAATCCAGGACAGATAAACCATTCAGGACAAGTGCTGAGAGTGATGATACCTGGAAGGTGGAGGGAAGGTGGGGTAGAAAGGGGAACCAATTACAAGGATATATATATCCTTATAATTATATATACACACACACATCCTTAGGGAATGGACAACAGAAAAGTGGGTGAAGGGAGACATCAGACAGTGTAAGATATGACAAAATAATAATAATTTATAAATTATCAAGGGTTCCTGATGGAGGGGGGTGGGGGAAGGGAAGGAAAGAAATGAGGAGCTCTAGTAGAAGGCAAATGCTTTGAGAATGATGAGGGCAACAAATGTACAAGTGTGCTTGACACATGGATGGATGGATGGATTGTGATGAGTTGTATGAGCCCCCAATAAAATGATTAAAAAAGTAAAAAATAATAATTAAAAATGTTTTAAAATAACAACACAGGTTTGGAATGTGAACAAATGTGTGTTTGCATACTAACTCTGTGCCGCATGTGCTATGTGAACCTGGTTATGTTTAAACTCTCTGCTTTTGGTGAACGAACATGGCAATATAGCTACTTCATAGGGAGTACAATTTTATCTGTCTTGAGCATTTACTATGTTCCAGGCATTTAGGGAATTTGCATTATGTCTCTTCCTAGCAAATGTAAATTAGATTCTCTTGACATTATTCTCTCTACTGGACAGCTGAGAAAACTGAGACTTAAAGAAGTAACTTGGTACAAGTCCCCTGTGTTAGGCTGGATTGCTCAGAGAAAGAAATTCAGTGATACTATGTATAAGAAAGATCTTTATATCAAGAAGTAATTATAGATGAAGAAGGCATCCTAGCCTAATCTATTAAGTCCTTAAGTCCAATACTAGAACACAAGTCCCTCTTTAGACTCAAGTAGCCCCATGCAATAATGCAAAATGCAGGAGATCACAGGTTGGTGGATGCAGAGCCTTATGGATCTGGTCAGTGGAAATATGGCCGGGCATCTGCAGCTGTAAGAGTTGGCAGCAGAGGCCCAGCAAGCAGGCAGGTGAAGGAACAGAGAGGGAGATTCCCAGTTTCCTCCACTTAAAAGAATGCCACACCCCTAAGGAGGCATCATCAAACTGTGACCTTATTGACAGGCTGGATTCTACCCCTATACTTTCATCCTTCTTCAAGTTGACATAATACCATCTAACTACTACATCCCCCAACTCGTAAATGGGTCATCTAAGTGGCATCCCCAAGGTGTTTGACTACAAAGTGTGCTCATGACTATGTTTTGGCTGATTTAAGAATTAATTAAAATAATGTATGTAAAAAAGTACCAGTTACGTTTTTAAATATTCCAAATATAAGAAAATGAAAATCCAAGCCCACTGCCATCATGTGCACTCTGACTCGTAGGGACCCTGTATAGAGAGTGTCCAAGACGGTTCATCTTTATCAGAACAGGTAGTCTAATCTTTCTCCTAAGTTGCAGCTGGTAGATTCCAAACATCCACCGTTTGGGTAACAGCCTAGTGCTTTAAGGCCCGTGCCACCAATGATCTTATGTATGCCATTACTGTAAGCATATTAATTACAGGTACAAAGCAATTGGACTGAGGGAAATTGCTCAGAGTAGCTCTCTGAGATGTGTTCCTTTATAAACACCCATGAGGCTAACTGATGTCAAGATCAAGCACAACCTATTCATCAGGAAGGAAAACAAACTGGATAAATATTGATGCAAACCATGAGTTATCTCTTTTGGAGCCCAAAAGATAAGTGTGACCTTTGACGATCTTGCTTGAGGACAACAGACAGCCTCACTGTTTTCTTCCCCGCTTCCTCCTTAGTATGGAAACCTGACTCTGGCTGAAGACACAGCTATTGGGTCCACCATCTTAACCATCCAGGCCACCGATGACGACGAGCCATTTACTGGGAGTTCTAAAATCCTGTATCGTATTATAGAGGGTGACAGTGAGGGGCGATTGGAGATTGACACAGACTTCCACACCAATGCTGGATATGTCAAGATTAAAAAGGTAAATAGCCTGCTTAATGGAATTTGTCTCTTCGCGTCTTCATTTACTTGTGGTCACATGAGGATCTGTAAGCAGAGGTGATGCATTAGCAGTGATGGCTCAGGTATGGTCATGATTGTTGGAACATGCTCAGAAGTGCTTGTCCTCTTGAAAGACTGAAGCCATGTAGCCTTTGCAGAGGGAAGTAGGATTGCCACATCATATACCAGACATTCAGTTAAATCAGGATTTCAACTACGTAAATAACAAAGGGTGTTTTAGTGTACACCTGTCCCATATGTTGTCCAGGACATCAATGTACTCAATTGTTCACTGTCCATCTGACATTCAGATGGAACGGGCACTGTAGCTTGACTTACTGCCTGGTAACCCTCAAGGAGGGGTCAGCAGAGCTTTCAGAGTTCCACTTCTCCTTTTGCAAATGTCTGCAGTCCCTTTAGGCCTCCCCTGAGATTGTCCATAGGGTCCCGTAGGTTGTCTTCGCGTAAGAGAAAAGCAACAAGTTTATTCTAATGGTTCTACAAGATCACCTTCTGGAAACTGTTTTTGAATATTGACTGGAAAACTTGTGCATCTCCTTCCAAGGTGTATAGGTGATTTTACCATTTTATTTCAGCTGTTTTTTTGCAAATTTTCACTTTTGATGATATCCCCAAACTATCTGGCTCCCCACCTCCCCCACCCCTTTTCTTTTCTCTCTCTTGCACTGTAAGGACTGGGTAGTCCTTGCGTCTTTAGACACTCACCACCATTGAGTCCACCCATACGTAGAACTGCCCATGGGGGTTTCTGGGACTATGAATCTTTACCAGAGTGGAAAGCCTCTTCTTTCTCCCACAGAGCACCTCGTGGTACTGAACTGATGGCCTTGTGGTTGGCAGCTAAAGGACCCATAACACCACAAGAACTCCCTCCCCCTGTGCTGTTGTTGCCTTTGAGTTGGTTCTGACACAGAGCAATCCTGTAGACGGCAGAATGGCCCTTCACAGCCCAGCGCTGCGCTATGCTCACAATGGCTACATTTGAGCCCATTGTTGAAGCCACTCGTCAGCCCATCTCCTTCACAGTCGTCCTCTTTCCCACTGCCCTTCCTCCCCACCCCACGCAGCATATGCACACCTGAATTCTGAGCCCTGTCCGCCACGGCAGCCTCATCTGAGTTTTAGGGATAGAGAGGATTTACCAGATGGCTCAGTGGAAAGCAGCATTCATTCCCATCCTATATACTTAGAATTAAAATAATTTCCTTGGAGACAGAGGAAATTCTCCCCGCCCCCCAGCCCACCCCTCCAAAACCAGGTGAAAGTGACTGCGATAGAGGTCTGTGAGTGTGGTTGGTGCTGCAGCGTGTGGACAGCTATGAGAGAAAGCTCCAGAGGAAAGTTTTGACCGGGATGAAGGGAAACTGAAAGTCGTGGTTACAGTGAACCCAGCATAGGATGATTCCAGAGAACAGGGATAAAGGGCCTGGGAAAAAGTGCTGGTGTTAAAACCAGCCCTGAGGCAGAGCCTCAGAATTCTGATCTCATTATTACACAACTGTATTACTCCTGACAGAGAACCCTGTTAAATTTTAGCAGCAAGAAACTTTAGCCTGTTCCCACTGGGGGCTAGTGGTGGGCCAGCTGAAGCTATTCGCATTGTGTGTGAGGCGGGCATTTGGGAAGGCTGCCGTACAACTTTGCCCTCAGCTCATGACTGTCTTTATGGAGGGAATGGAGCCCAGGAGGAAAGGTTAAAGGATTCTGTTGTAGCAGAGGGGCACGGTGGAGAGGGGAGGCAGTTTGTCTCCTATCTTCCCCTAAGAACAGAGCTCTCCGAAGATAAAATAGTGTGAACAACATCTCACTTGTCAATATTTGGTGGCTGACTGTGAACGCATAGCAGGTGATGTGGCTATCCGTGGCTAATGAGCACTTTGGGGGAGATGTTGGCGGCCTAATGATTAGCACTGAGGGCTACTGGTATCCACCCCCTGCCCCCCACCCCCCTGCACATAACTTTGACACTGGGAGGTGATTACAACAGAGTAAGCCTCTAACCAACCCTGCAAGACCCTCATTTTGTGCATGCATTCCAAGTCTCTAGAATATTGCCCAACACATAGAGAGGGCCAAGGAATATTGGTTGAATAATTGAATTCTGTTCCCCACACAGTTATTTATTTATTTATTTAAAATCTATTTTGATTTTTTTTCAAGCATGGAAAGTCTTGGCTATCTTGGGTTAAGTGATATCTCCCTCTCCCCCACCCCCTCCCAGCCCCATCCAACACACACAATTATTAACAAACAGGCGCACACACACAAAAAAAGATCATTCCACTTATTCTTTTCAGTGTTTCCCAAAGTGCCTCTGGGGGTTGGGGTGGGGCCCTGGGGTGATCCAAGGGGGTTGCAAAAGCAGATACCTACACTTTATCCTGGATTATTGCCTATAATACAATGGCTTTAAATTGCCAGGGGGTCACTGGGGAAAAAACTTTTTTTTCTGAAAAAGGTATAGTCGATCAAATATATTTGGTCGATCAAATATATATAGTCGATCAAATATATACATTAGACCTACAGAGTTCCGGCTCTCTGTGTCTCAGGTTCTGTGATAACAATATCTTAGACAGAGTCTGAGGAGCCCCGGCAGCGTGCGTAGTGGTTCTATGTTGGGCTGCAACCCACCAGGTCAGCAGTTCAAAACCACCAGCCACTCTGCTGGAGAAAGAAGAGACTTTCTACTCCTATAAAGAGTTACAGCCTCAGACACCCACCAGGGTATTCTACCCTGTCTTATAGCTTCACGGTGAGTCAGAGTCGATCGACGGCAGTGAGCAGGGACACAGATTTTGGAGGCTTTGAACTTTGAATGACAGAGGCTGCTGGGCTAGCCAGATGCTTCTACTCACGTATTCCACCCAGAAAAAATGGTTTCCAAGGTCAGTTTTCTAGTTACCAACCCTCGGACTGAGGCCGCACTAGCTAAGGACCCGTGGGTCCTTATTTCCAAGGGGGAGGGGGAATCAAATCCCTGCCGTCAAGTTGATTCTGAGTCCTCGCAGCTCTCTAGAATAGAGAGGAACCGCCCCAGAGGGTTTCCCAGACTGACTCTTACAGAAGGGCAAGGCGGTGGCCTCTTCGTGCTGAAGGGCTGGCGAGCTTGAAAGGCTGACTTCGGATTCGCAGCCAAGTGTTTTAACCACTGCACTGCCAGGGCTCCTTGAACCCCAAACACTAAGTAGCCATCACCCCAAAGTGTGGATTCTGGATTCTTGTTGTTGTTGTGTGCCATTGCTTTCAGTCCAACTCGTATTAACCCCACAGGAGCCATGGTAGCGCAGCAGGCTAGGCGCTGGGCTGCTAAGTGCAAGATCAGCAGTTTGAACTCACCAGGAGAAAAAAATGATGAGGCTTGCTACTCCCTTTAAGACTTGCAGCCTGGGAAACCCACAGGACCCCATAGGGTCACTGGGAGTTGGATGGCAGTGAGTTTGCAGGGTTTGTGTTGTTGTTGTTTTTACTGTTACAAGAGCAGTTCACTTGGTCTTTCTCCCACAGCCCCACTGTTAGGTTCAAACCACTAACCTTTGGGTTAGCAATTTGCTTAACCATTTGCTACCCACACTCCTTGGAGTCTGGATTCCAAACCAAAATCCAAACTCACTGCCATTGAGTAGAATCTGACTCATAGTGACTTTATAGGACAGAGTAGAACTGCCTCTTTTGGATTTCTGAAGCTACAAATCTTTACAGGAACAGAAAGCCGCCTCTTTCTCCTCTGGAGCGGCTGGTAGTTTCAAATTGCTGACCTTGCAGTTAGCGGCCCAACACGTATCCCACTAGGCCACCGGTTCATTTGGATCCCGCACTAGAGTACAGCAAATGTTCGTCAACTGCCCATAGGAGGAAGACTTAAAGTAGGACAGATGCATGCATTTGCTCTATTTTTACTGAAGGATTTTAAGTAAATTAGAGACTATAATGTAGTCTCTTATGTATGACTTCTCTCTCCTTTGAAGGCCTTACCCTTTAAGCCAAGAGGGGACAGTCATTGCTTCAGAACACCTGCCAATCAATAATGTTAAGCTTAATGTCCTACTCACAATTCATCGGAACTGAGCATTTGCTAATCTCCAGTAGAATTCACTGAGAACGCTGTGCCACATCACTGGGACACTGCAGGAAGTGCTTCCACACACACTCACCCTCGCTTCCCACATCAAGTCTGAGGGAGGCAGAGCAGAGGGAAGCCCCGCTGTTCAGATAAGGCTCAGGCCCACAGGGGCTATCACCTGCCACCCCTGTGATGATGCCGGAGCCAGGAACAGAACTCCCCCTCTAATGCCTCTCAAGGCCGGTGGTGCCGCTTACTGGTTCTATGACCTTGGGCAAATGGGGTCATCTCTCAGACCTCAGTTTGCTGATCTGTTAAAAAATGAGCGCAAGGACAACACCCTCTTAAAAGATGAAGGATTAAATATTCATGATAAAATGTAGCTGGTAATCAGTAGAGCGTAATCAAACACAACCCTGGTCAGAACATTTGTGGGCATTCCGTGGTAAAGCCATGTTGGGCAATGTGCAGCTTTGTAAATGCAAAACCACATCCCTAGCTCTGACTGCCACATCTGGCAGAGAGGCAACTCAATAAACGCTAAGCATGATGTTAATTCTGATTCATGAGATGGTTAGAAGCCAGGCATGGGGCGTCTGGGTGCAATGTGCTTTTCCCTATTGCCTAAGGTTAGCAAACCTGCCAAATCCAGGGGTCATTGTGCTCCCCTGGGATTACTGGGAATCAGTGACTTTCCCACCTACCCTCAGGGCCTTTTCACCTGCCACCAGCTGCTGTGGAGGCAACTCAGACTCCCCATGACCCCTGTGTGTAGAATAGAACTGCCTTTTCAATGACTGAGGTTTTTTGAAAGTAGATAGCCAGACCTTTTTTCTGGGGTACCTCTATGTGGCCTCAAATACCACCCAGGGGTTCCCAGTGATGTGTAGAATTAAATATTGTTTGGGAAATGCTGTCATATTCTGTATTGGCTGCTGCCCAGAACTCTGACCTGCGCGGTGGTAGACCCTTATAGCCCTGGAGCTGTGGGGATATCAAGAGTAGGGAAGGGTATTTATTTATTTATATCACTTTATTGGGGGCTCTTACAGCTCTTAGAACAATCCATGCATCAACTATATCAAGCATATTTGTACATATGTTGCCATCATTATGTTCTAAACACTTACTTTCTCTTTGAGTCCTTCGTATCAACTCCTTTTCCCCTCCCTCCCCCCTCCCACCATTGTAACCCCTTGATAAATTATAAATTATTATTATTTTCATATCTTACCCAGACCGGTATCTCCCTTCATCCATGTTTCTGTTGTTTGTCCCCCTCAGCGGTGAGGGGAGGGGGGTTGTTATGTGTCCATCATTGATATTGGTTCCCCCTTCTTTCCCATCTTCCTCCTGGTATTGCTACTACATTTCTGTTCCTTCATAAGCTATAAACTCACTGCCATAGAGTTGATTCTGACTCAGAGTGATACTGTAAGACAAAACATAATTGTCCCTTTGAGTTCATCTTTCATCCTCAGAGTGGTTGTTAGTTTCAAACTGCTAACCTTATGGTTAACAGCCCAACACATAACCCACTACACCACCAGGGATTTTTTTCATTGACATGTTGAGGTTAGAATTTACAACACATCACATAAAGGAGGATAATTACATCAGATCATTAAAAATGGAGGAGAACCACACAATACTGAGAATCATGGCTTATCCAAGTTGACATATTTTGCAGGGGACACAACTTAATCCATGGCAACAGCATCCTTCACACCGCAGGTGCCTAAGGTTTTCCTCCTAAAACACAAATCTGACCTTGCCTGACTTATACTCCAATACCTTTTATGGTTTGTCAAAGATAAAGTCTGAACTCCTTAGCTTGGCACACTCAATCTTCTCCCATATCCATCTTCCCTCTACATCACATCTTTAGTCTAGTAACACAAACTACTTCTTGTTTGTGGTTACACTGTTTTATTTCCCTACCCAGGAAACCCCATACATGTCCGAACAGAATTGAGCTTCATATGTTGCTCTGTATGAGAGCTTTTTAAAGAACACAGGAGTTTTCAATGATGAGATTTTTAGAAGTAGATTTCCAGGTCTTCCTTCCACGTCACCTGTGGGGACTTAAACCCCCTACCTTTTGGTTAGCAGTTGAGTGTGTTAACTTTTTGTGTTACTCAAAGACTTCTCCCCCATGTGCCTAAATGTCACTCCCAGCATCTTAGTAAGTGCTTAAAATATTGCAGGAACTCAAATCATTTCTGCTGAAGGGATGAATGAATGATGTGCCCCACTGTTAAGGAAATTCAGAGAATGCCAGTTTCTGTTTCCTCTTCTTGGAAGGGCACAGAGTTCATTAGCATATGAAAGGCTCTGATAAGTCCTACAGTGAAGACTGTGTTCCTGGCTCTATTATTCCATCAAGCAGGTATTTGCTGACACCATTGAGAAATGTCGCTCTGTATGAGAGCTTTTTGAAGAGCACAGGAGAAGAATCTCACGAGGGAATTTGGTAGCACTGGGAGACAAATATTGGACTGTTAGCCAGGAGGCTGGTGCCTCAAATCCACTAATCACTTCTTGGGAGAACAATGGGGCTAGCCCCTCCTGTAAAGATTTGGAGTCTCCGTGGGAGGTCTCTATGAGTCAGACTTGATTCCATGAGGTGGGCAAAATCATCCCAAACCATTGTGAGCCTCAAGTGTCACTATTAGAATTGGCTTAATGGCAATGGATTTTGTTGTTGTCTAATCCAACATTATTTTTTCCCTCTTTCTCTTTTTTGTACACAGCCTCTTGATTTTGAAACAGCATCTGTTTACAACATTGTATTCAAGGCAGAAAATCCCGAGCCACTGGTAGCTGATATAAATTATAATTCAAGCTCGTTTGCCACTTTCAAGCTCATTTTGACAGACGTCAATGAACCGCCTGTGTTTTCCCAACAAGTATTCCAAGCGAGAATCCCTGAGAATGCAGCAATAGGCACAAAAGTGGGCAACGTGACTGCCAAGGATCCGGAAGGTCTGGAGATAAGGTAAAGGTGCTGGACAGGCCTGGTTGCATGCTGCAGCCAAGGCCAAAGGGACTGGGAAGGTGGCCACATTCCAGGTATCTCCTCTCATAGAGTAGTCAGCAATCGGAAGTACAGTATCCCAGTCCACATGGAGTGTGACTTTTATTAGTCTGGTAGTGAGTAAAGATAACTAAGACAGTTATAATTCAGTGCTAAATATCATGACTGAGCTATGAAGGCACTTGCAGGAGGGGATTCCTGATCTGAATTTGAGGGGCTAAAGGAAAGTGTCATGAAACCAAGACCCAAAGGCTCCAGAGGAGTTAGCAACAGACATACCTATGGGGAAAGGAGGGATGAAGGACACGTTAGGCAAACAAGTGTGTAAAAAACAGCGGTGAGAGACCATTGCAAATTCTGGGGCCGGAAGGAGGTCAGAGCATCCAGAACCCTGGAAGGCACAGGGAAAGGCAATGAGTATGGTCTCGGGGCTGCTCCATTGACTCAAAGATGACTATGTGCCAGTCTTTTGAGCTGCTGTGCCTCGGTTTTCTTCACTTACTACAAGTGTGATGACTAAAAACGGTGTAAATCTTTCCATCTTAAAAACGGTTAATTGGTTTTTAAAAGTGCAGTAAGATCTGTCAAGATTTGCCCCCCGAAATATAATAGTACATTTACCAAGACTATATGTATAGGAGTGTACCCACCCTTGAGTTGACAGCTAAAAAACCAAACTCCAAACTCACAGCCACCCAGTCCATTTGGGGTCAGCACAGACGTCGAGACAAAGTAGAACTGCCCTGTGGTCTCCTGCAATTGGGAGTCTCTACAGGCGCAGAGACACAGAGAGCAGCTGGAAGTTTCCACCAGCCGACCCAGCGGTGAGCAGTCCAACATATAACATGCTGGCATGAGGCCTCTGGTTGGCATCTATAGCCTAGTTAAAATCCTGCCATCATTAAGTGTGTATCTATAGGTCTTGAATCCAGATCTTTTTCTGCTTTTTAACGTTAGCTTGATGTAAACCGAAGCATGGGAGTTCTTAAGTTTCGCTAAGCATTTGAGGGAAGACTTGGCTCTCAGCCAACTGTCCTCCGGGCACTGGGGATGAGTCCCGAGGTCTTTTCCCGACGGCCCATCAATAGTTAGGTCTCTACCTACTGTTCTACTTTTTTACCCTTTCTTTCGTTTCATAAAGACAAACATAAGAGTGGGAAGAAGGGGAGGATCTACATAGTAAAGTGCAGACTCTATATATCAGTCACAAATTATAATTGACATGGGACAAAATATTTGAACTTTTACAATCATTTACTGTTTTACAAATATTTCTTTTTCCTATGTCATGAGAAAGCTAGAAAAATCAATGGTCAAAGAATAAAAAATACAAACAAACCAAACACATGGCCCGCCCAGTCTATGCCAACTCACAGTGACCCTATAAGCCAGAGTAGAACTGCCCTTTTGGGTTTCTTAGACTTAAAGTCTTTACAGGCCCAGATAGCCTCCTCTTTCTCTACTGAATGACTGGTAGATTTGAACTGCTGACTTTGTGGTTAGCAGCTCAGAGCATTGCCCACTCTGCCACCAGGGCTCCTTCGTCAAAGAGTAGTGAGTAAAAACTTCAGCTGATTAGTGGGGAAAATAAAAGTGTAATTTCTAACAAGCATATGATGATCTGAAGGGCCCAGGAACAGTTGTAACTAAGTTGAGGTTGGGAAGGCGGCGAGGAAGACTCGGTAGGGGAGATGGGAAGATATGTCATGTACGAGGTGGTCATACAGGCAAATGAAGACGATATTTCCAGAGGGAGGAACAATCAATACTTTAGGTGCTACTTTGGATAGGCCGATTAAGAATCAAAGATAAAGCGAAAAAAATATTAGGGAGTAGTAGGACAACTAGTTGGCCATGTAGGCTCAAGTAGTTCAGGAAAGACAAGAAACCCAAAGGTCTTTATACTGTATTTATAATGGTTAGGCTGCTACCGCAATGGTGGAGGTCTAAACCCACCATCGGTGCCTCATAAGCGGTTCTCAACCTGTGGGTTGAGACCCCTTTGGGGGTTGAATGACCCTTTCACAGGGGTCGCTCGATTCATAACAGTAGCAAAATTACAACTATGAAGTAGTAACACAAATAATATTATGGTTGGGGGGTGGTCACCACACCATGAGGAACTGTGTGAAAGGGTCGAGGCATTAGGAAGGTTGAGAACCCCTGGACTAGATGATTTGCTCCTGTACAGAGGACAGCCTAGGAAGCCTGGGACAGTTCTTCTCTGGCCTATAGGGCGGCCATGAGTCAGAGTCAACTTGATGGTACTCAACACCATTGTGTTGGCAACTGTACTATAAATTTGTTTCAGAATAAAACATTAGGGTCAAAAAGAATGAAAGCTGACTAATATTTTTGGCCTCAGAAATTGAATTCATCTTTTCTCTTAGACACACCAATTCTGGTGGATCCTAATCTAATCCTTCAGCAAATAGATAAATTTCCTTATTTTATTTTTTAGTATTATAGATTATGAAACTCCTCCCTAATTTTTTTCCCATGAGCTATCCAAGCCGCTAGCATCTCCCTTTGGGATTCAACTTTGGCCCTGCCCTGCTCCCAGCCCACACTGAGTCTATTTGCTGCATTGTGAACAGAGAGATCCCTTTAAAAAGTAACTCTGTTCATTTGACTCCTAAAACCTTAGATGATTTCCCATCCTGAGACCAGAGGATTGCTGGCTCATCACTATAGAGACAACCTAATATAGTACTTGATTTATTGAATATCTATATATTTGAAAAGAAATTAATTTAATTAACCAACACACTATAATAACTTTTGAATTTTTCTATTATTCATGAGGGCATATTTATTTCCAGTATATTATTATTATAGAATCTTTTTTTCCTGTAAACATTGTATTTCATGCTTTTTAAAATTCTGTGAACTTTTTTGTTATTGTTTATGTTTGGAAAAACTTTCCAGGATTGGGATTTTTTTAGACTGAAAATAGGGACATCCTCATGGGCCTATCATTTGGTTTCCTTTGGTTATTGTCCTTGAATTTATTTTTCACTCAGCTGCCATTGAGTTCCATTGAAAATACAAATCTACTGGGTAACCTACCTTCTGATTTAACACCGTTTGAAGGCTGCCCATTGCTTTCCAAGCTCTGATTTTTTCCAATGTCTTTCGTCTCTTCTTTTGCCAGTCAGTGCTCCCACATTATTAAACTATTTGACTTCCCCATCTCCACCAAGCTATTTTTGGTCCCTCTGCCATGGCTCAGGAATGACCTTCTTCTTAATGTGTTCCCAGTCTTCCTGCTTTAAAAAAAAGGGACCAGTTGCCTTCCAGTTGATTCCAGTGCATGGTGAGCCCAAGTGTCTCAGAGTAGACCTGCCCCCTTGGGTCTTCAGTAGCTGTGATCTTTCATAAGTCGGCTGCCAGGCCTTTCTTTCTGTTGCGTCCCGGCCTATGGGACGCACGAGCAAGGCCCTGCGGGGAAAGGCGAACCTGGATGGAGAAAAAAGACATGGGGGCGCGGAGCAAGACAAAACTCTGATCAAGCTCATTTATTTGGGCAAAGCTGGGGTATAAAAAAGGGGGAACTGGGAGGTGCATATTTTAATAAGGTGTGCGACACAGCATCCAATCCAACAGGTACATTAATGAAGCATAAGAACGTTAACCAATCAGCTGTAGGTAAAAGGGCGCGCGCTAGTTCTCAAAGACGTCCTGCATGCAGATTAAGGTCCATCAGGTGTAAAGCAAAGTCCATCTTAGTCCAATGAGCGCCTGGCATTATTAACCAATGGGTGAAAAGGTCAACTTTACAACTGCCCAGTGCTGTGCTACAGAGCACGTAGCTAGGAACGCGGAGGCAGGGTTGGGCAGGGATTTCAGGCAGGGCCAGTTCCCACAGATTTAGCAAATGAAAGACACACTTAACAACCAGGAAGCAGCCAAGTTCGGCTCGTGGCTGAGGCTAAGGCCTTAAAGGCCACCGGCTCCCAACACTTTCAAGTCTTTTTTCTTTACTTAGGATTTATTCCTGCAGAAAGACATCCCTCATTTTCATCAACCTGCACTCTGCTCCCCATAGACACCTCTGAGATTCCACTGTGCTCCTCCTATTGTATTGGTCACATTTAATTAGAAAGATGAGCCTGTTTCTCCCCCACCGGTCTAAGCGGTCCTGCTGTAATCTCTTCCTTTGGCCCACTGCTTGATATTTACCATGCCCTAGTGGATGGTTCTAGAATGACAGAGGCGATTGGTCCACCCATTCCACACACCTCTTGCGCTGGGTGTTTACGTTTTCTCGTTTGCTGTTCATTTTGGAGGGGTGACTTGAGAATAGGTTTTTAAAAATGACCTCTAACTGGTTTTTATCTGAATTCTTCAATTACCAATTTTTTCCCTTTGGGTCTATGATAATACTTTGTCTAATAAATTAAGCAGGAACCCTGGTGGTGTTAGTAGTTAGGTATTGGACTGCAATCCGCATGGCTGGCAGTTTGAAACCACCAGCCGTTCCTTGGGAGAAAAATGGGGTTTTCCTTTCCTGTAAACAGTTACCGTCTCAGAAACTCACTGTGTCCTTGCTTTGAGGCGGTGTCGAATCCATAGCCGTGAGTGAAGTGAATAAACGAAGCACAACCACCCTCTCGAAAAGATCAATAAATTTTCCTTTTGACATCAGATGATGTGTAAATAAAGCACTAATGTATCATATATTGTTCCTTGAAATATGTTAACAATAATCTACAAATGACAAGACTAACCTATTCGTATAATGGTGCATAATATAGTTTTGTATTTTCCTACAGAGTAATATAGATTTTTCCCCCCCTTCTCTTTATGAAGTTATTCCCTGGAAAACAATCAGAAAGGCTGGCTTAAAATTGACCCTGTCACTGGTGAGATCTTCAGCACGGGGCAGCTGGACAGGGAAGTCCAAAGTCTGTATAAGGTACAAGTCGTGGCAAGAGAAAAAGGTGAGCAAAATAAATAAATAAATAATAATAGAAATGGGAGGTGGGGGCAGATGGGAAGCTGCATTGGGCTGATGGCCCAGAATATCAGTACCTGGGAGTGGAAGCGGTGTTAGTTCACACCTTGTTTTGTTAAATGGCTTCTTTGGGTCAGAGCAGTACCAAGTGGCCAGCCAGGCTTCTGGGGTACTGCTCACTCTTGCGAATCCCTCCAGGGCCACAACTTCCAGGAAGGTCCCTGAATAAACTACCCCTGTAGGTAGGCGGTGTGGGCTCTGCCCTGCTCACCTTGACCATGATTTTTTTTTCTGATAGCCTTAAATCACAGCTGCTCAAGTCCTATTGTGTTTGAAACCAAAAATGCTTTCCTGCAGCCTTCTCAAATTCCTGGGGGTGTCAGAAACTCCTCAGGAGCTTGCTGAGGATAGAGACTGGGAGCTCCCCCCTGGAGATGCTAATTCAGGAGGTTTGGTGGACCTGTGTATGTGTGTTTGGTGGAATTGGTTGACTTTGAAAAAGAAGGCTATAAGATAGATCAGTCAAGGATATTCAACCAACCCTCGTGTAGTCTTTGCATCCTCTTTAATTCAGTTGTTGCAATATATGTCCCTGTTCCAAATACAGAGTTCTAGGGAATTTTCAATATTAAAAGCAAACAAACAAAACACCTCACAGAAATGTTATACTTACCAGTGATTGCACTGTAATTTAAAGCATTAAGTTTCTTGGCATTTAAATGGAATGGCTCCAATCTAGAGTCAAAGTTCTATTGACCGTATGCTGATCGATCAGAGTCCCTAAGCAGTGGTAAACATATCTCCTTGGTTTGCCAAGAGAGCGAGAGAGAATTGAAGACATGATTACTAGGTAAATTACTAGGGACAGTTTTAGAGCAGGAAGTAAGCTCAAAATATGAATCCTCGGGTTGGAAACTGGCACGAGGCACAGAGAAAGGAATCGTAAAACTGTTTCCTGCATACAAAACGATTAGGAAACACGAATAGCACCGTGGTCAGTTTATGCCAAAGAGAATAGACAGTAGGACCATGTGCCAAATTTGGGACCATGGTTTGTGTTCTTGGTGGGCCTGGCTGACGACACGGCACATTGTCACTCTTGCAAGCTAAGCACACTCCACTTCCACCAGCAAGTATATCCAGCTCTTGTTGAAAAGCCCACGATTATTCACCAGGGAGTATCTGGCTGAGGCCTTGAGCTATGAGCTTCCCTGCAACACACTCTGGGGGTCAACACTTCACTTTGGATGCCTTTGTAAGGCCCTCTCACATTTTAGAAGACTCGTGAGTTCAAATCAGGGTCCCAAACCCTGCCTCATCCCCAGTTGTTGGCATTGCTGTTGTCATCAACGGGTTCCGACTCACAGCAAACCTTTGTACGACAGAACAAAACACGGCCCCGTACTGCGCCATCCTCATGACTGTTCTTAGATTTGAGCCCATCGCGGCAGTCATTGTCTCAATCCATCTCGTCAAGGGCCTTCCTCTTTTTTGCTACCCCTCCCTCTACTTTACCAAGCACGATGGCCTTCAGGGACTGGTCGCTCCTAACAACACAGCCAGAATACATGAGTTGAAACCTTGCTATCCCGGCCTCTTGGCATTGAAAGAATGCAAACAGATGAAATCTTTTCAAGAACCCAAGTGATTTTATTCTCCATTGGTTAAGTGTAGTTAGGAGGAGAAAATTGAGAAGAAACGCTGGGAGTCAGGGTCTACTAGACTGGAAGCAGAGTGATGTGTCAGAAATTGTGTAAATGGTATCTGTAATTTGACGTTGGGTAGAAAAGGAACAAACAGGAACCGTCTCCTTTGTGGTTACAGCCCTGTTCTAAGCACTTAGGGCAATTCCATAGTCAGTCCTCATGCAACACTCTGAAAGCAACGCTAGCATTGACCACATTTTACAGATGAAGAAATCAAGGCACTGAGAAGTCAAGTTGCCCAAGACCACACAGCGAACAAGCTGTCAGGCTGCCAAAGCCAAGGTCTTCACTGTTTCTTGTTGTTACCGATTGCCTTTGAGTCGTTTCTGACTCAGAGGACCCCACAGGACATAGTATAGCTGTCCCCTAGGGTTTCCAAGGCTCTAATCGCTGCAGAAGCAGATCTGTAAAGATCTGCCCCATCTTTCTCCCATGGAGTGGCAGACTAATGGGTCTTTCAGTTAGCAGCTGTGTTAGGCTAGGTTGTCTAGAGAAACAAAGCCGGTGATACCCACATATGTATAAGAAAGAGCTTTATATCAAGAAGCAATCGTATATGAAGAAGGCATTCCGGGCCAGTCGAACTTAAACACACGGGTCTGTTGCCAACCAGAGCCCTCTTCAGACTCAGCTAGCTGCAGGCTGATGATGCAGAAAGGTGGCGCAGGATCACAGGCCAGTGGGTGCAGAATTGTGTAGATCTAAGGACGTGAACATGGCAGGGCATCAACAGCCCGCAAGGTCAGACAGCCCACCTGGAGCCGTCCCGGGAAGCAGGCACAGAGTGCCAGCATGCAGGAAGGTGTAGGGGCAGAGAGAGAGGAGGGGTCCTCAGGTCTCTCTCATCAAAAGGCCGCACCTCCCAGGAGACATCATCAGATTGTGACCTGATTGACAGACAAGTTGCACTCCATCCCCACACAAGGGCAAGTTGACACTCAGCACAACCGCCATAGCAACTAAACCCGTAAACACTAAACCACCAGGGCCTTGACGTTGTTATTCTAAGTGCCTGTCAAGTAGACCCCGGGCTCACGGCAACCTCAGGCACCACAGAACAAAAAACCCTGTCTGGTTGTGCACCATCCCTCTGACCAGTTGTAGATGAGACCATTGTGATCCCAGGGTTTCCTTTGACTGATGTTCAGAAGTAGATACCAGATATTTTGTCCCAGGCCATATTGGTCTGGAAGTTCTGTGGAAACCTGCTCAGCATCGTAACGATGCATAAGGCTCCTTGACAGGCAGGTAGTAGCTGCACCTGAGGTTTATTGTCTGGGAGGGGAACCTAGGTCTCCTTCACGGAGAGGGGACTTCTACCACTGACCCATTGATGTCTCCCTCCTCCCCCACTTGCCCAGAGTCATGAACCTTTGTGTGGCTTTTACTGTGTTTTAAAAATTATTATCAATCATTTTATTGGGGGCTCATACAACTCATATCACAATCCATCCATACATCAGTTGTATAAAGCATATTTGTACATTCATTACCCTCATCATTCTCAAAACATTTGCTCTCCATGTAAGCCCCTGGCATCAGCTCCTCATTTTTCCCCTCCCTCCCCGCTCACCCCTCCCTCACTAACGCTTGATAATTTATAAATTATTATTTTGTCATATCTTTTTAAAAAAATTTTGTCATATTTTACACTGTCCAACGTCTCCCTTCACCCACGTTTCTGTTGTCTGTCCCCCAGGGAGGAGGTTATATGTAGATTCTTATAATCGGTGGCTTTACAGTTTTTAAAATTTTTTTTATTGCCTTTATGGTTTTCTGAGAATATTCGCTTACATGGTCAACTATTACAAAAACATGTGTGGTTATACAGGTGAAGATAAGACGTTGGGGAGGTTGCCTCGTGCGCTGAAGTCTGTGCTGAGGAGCAGTCGTTTTGTGGGCTTCAGAGTGACCTCTCTCTCTCTCTCTCTCTCTCTCTCTCTCTCGCTTCCTAGCTGCGTGTCCTTGGGCAAGTCACATGACTTCTCTCAGCCTCAGTGACTCTATAGCACAGTCATCTTGAAGTGAAGCGTAAACTAGTAGCACAGCCCTTGGCTCCTAAATCTTAGTTATTATTATCACTAAGACATTTTCGTCAGGATGAAACCAGGTGTTCTCATTTCAGAAACATGCTTTCTTTCCATAACGTCAATAAGCTTAGCTGCTTGAATGGTATCTTTTTATTTTTAAGAAAGGGCACTATCTTTTCTTCTTTAAAAAAGAGTCCCTGGGTGGTGCAAATGATGAACGTAGTCGACTTCTAACCAAAAATGCCAAAATGTTGGCGGTGTAAGTCCACCAGAAGCTCCTTGGAAGAAAACTCTGGTAATCTTCTGCAGACTAAGCCATGGGGAACCCTGCAGAGCAGTTCCGTTCTGCACACACAGAGTTGCCACGAGTCAGAGGGGAATGGATTGCAAGTTGCTTTTACTTATTAAAAAGCAAACGAGAGCGTTGACAAGTATTTCAATCATTTCATTCCCAAGGTGGCTCTTCTTTGAGGTCCACAGCCAGCTTCCACCTGACCCTAATGGATGTGAATGACAATGCCCCACGGCTGGCCAAGGACTACACCGGCTTGTACTTGTGTCATCCCCTCAAAGCACTGGGAAGTTTCATTTTGGAAGCCACGGATGATGACCAGCAACCACTTCGAGGCCCACAATTTACATTTGCCCTTGGCAGTGAGAATCTACAAAAGGACTGGGAGGTTTCCAAAATCAATGGTGAGTTGTCAAAAAGTACATCAAGAAAAGCGATGATGGATGATGGACGTAGGCGTCATTTCCTCAGTGGGCTTTGTAATACTGAACAGAGAGCTTCCTTCAGTGTTCTAGAAAGAAAGCTGATGTTGTTGAAACTTGCCTGGGGAAGCTCTGGGGGGT